AAAAATAGATAATAATATAGATTGATAACATTGCATAAATGGCATCTCAAATAAAAAATTCTTCCAAAATCTTGCGGTTACAATGTTTTCCCCTTGATCACTTTAAGCCACGTGTCATTCCGCCCTACAGTATCATTTCTTTGTTTATCGTTTACGTACGAGCTAGATTTTGAAGGCGTAACATAAATATGGATAAAACTCAAACCAAAAATGTCCCCCTCAAGAGAGTGACACGTGGTCTTGAATGTGAAAACTTTACGGCCAAGATGATCTTTTCCAATAAATATTTTTTATAATAAGACTCTCTATTTAACCGATCTATCCAACTTAGCCTAGACCCCTTGCCTGTAACGTCAAAGGAGCTCGATCTGGGGGACAAAACAGAACAATTCTATAATCTCCCGAAAATTGGAACCTATTGTTTTGTACCCAAGATTGAGCTGCATTCCAAAGTGCTGCAAGGGGTCTATAGTTAACGTTAACCTATAGGTTGCAATCAATAGACGTCACTTCCGGTAATAGCTCTTTTTTGATGGCTTGTAGAATACTGGAGGTTGTTTTGATCTCTTGTTTTCTGGTTTGATGTCGTGAAAATAGTCAAATACAATAGTTTGAGGACTTATTTTGATATGTTTTGACTTAGCATCTGCTAGTTGCCCCCCAGTCAACCGCTTGTTTGCCCCCCAGTCAACTCCAAAAAGTAACGTGATTGATAGTAAGCAATACGCATGTTTGGTGTAGCACGTAGGAATGCAGCTCAATTTGGAGGACATTTTATAGGTTTCCAATTCTCTGGAGATTAAAATTCTAATGTTTTGTCCTTCAAATTGAGCTGCTTTGACGTCACATGCAAGGGGTCTATTAAGCTGCTTTGACGTCACATGCAAGGGGTCTATCAAAGAGTAGAACACAGAGCGATGTGTGTAAGGCAGACAAATGTAAAAACGTGTAAATGGTTCAACGGAGACCCAATAGTTGCCAAAAGTAGAAGGGAAGGAACTTTACTTTTCGCAACGATTGCTGCAACTTGCAACATTTTTCAAATTGCGCTGTAGGTTACACACTGCAATGCTCCATGCAACTTATGTCGCAACGGGGTTGTGACRATTGCAGAAAAAATTGCTCCGTGTAATCGCGCTTTAAAGCTGATGTACTTCTCATGGATGCGCGCAACTAGTTTTATCTTGCGAAAACGAGCTAGTTGTCAGCCAATGAAATGAAACATCTCTACGTACTTACAATTCCAAGCGTGTAAGCCGACTATATTTGTACATAACRAACTTGAAGCAGAAATCATTGCATCATGTAGCTTGATATTTGACATCAAGAAAATAAACGAGAACAAAAAAGGAAAGAAATGAGATGAGATTAGATAAAAATGAGAAGAAAAAAGGAAAAGAAGGCTGCAAAATAAAACTAGAAATAAAATAAAAACCGATATATGTGGTGATATATGTGGATTGGCTGATGCTATCAATACTTCTTCATTTCCATTCCTTCTGTATCACCCATATTATTAGAMTTCTTACACAACAAAATCTTAAGGAATTCTGAACGAAATGCACTGTTCAAGATACCATAAATAAATGGGTTAATCATGCTTGAGCTGTAGACTAAAAAGGTGTAAACTATATGAGGCGCCCGACTCTCAAAMCGTCTAGGGAAGATGAGTTGGAGATACGCGATGCCAAAAGATGGGAGCCAACAGCAAGAGAATCCAACCATGATAGCGACTATCACCTTGGTAAYGCGAATTTCTTCTATGTTTGGGTTGAGCGGGTTTTGCCGACGTATAGAGCGAATAGTTACCAAATTATGGGTTCTTATTGTACGGAATAGTTTGAAGTAACAGAAGAAGACGGTTGTCAATGGAAGAAGTGCGAAGATCAATCCAGTGATGATGTTCCAAGTATCGCGGAACGTCTTGTCCATCAATTCTATATGACACACAAGTTTCCCTGGGTCGAAGTAAAAGATGTYACCGTTTAAACACGTGAATATCGTTACGTACGATATACAAACCAGCCAAATGGTGACAATCATGATCATAGAGTTCCTATTTGAGAAGATGATTYGGTAAAGAAGTGGCTTAGCGACACTTATGTAGCGGTTTGCCGCCACCAAAGCAACAGTAAGCAGAGAAACGAATGCTAAAACAAAGAATATGAATCCATGCACTTGGCACACGAAGGTACCAAGYGTCCAGCGTCCTTTGATGAGAGCAATGGTAGATAATGGCATGCAAGTCAAAGCCATTAAAATGTCCGACACAGAAAGAGAGAGAATAAAGAGGTTAGTCGAGATTCGTCRAAGACCGGAATTTTTCACAACGGCCATCCATACTAAAATATTTCCAGATAAAGCTAAAAAATCAATTAGCGAAAGAGAAGTAGCCTCTAAGATAACTTGCCATCTAGGTAGCGACGCTAGCTTTGAATGCAGGGTAGAGGCATTCGTTGTTAGGTTCATCCTGGTATAGTCGAACTGCAGAATGGAATCGTTTGTTGAGAAAACACTCAAATCCAACAGATTTAATCGGTTCGATCCGATTCCGGCCCACTATGAGCCAGTATGTCAATTATCTAGTATACTTGTGCTACAAACGATTCTTTTTTGTGTGCTCTCGACCAATGACTTTGGAAGACGATTTACTTTGATCTTTGCTGTGAGAACTGATGTAAGACAATCACTCCCTTTAAGTTGTAAAGGATTCTTACTAGAYAATAAAGGCGATAATCCTCGGCTTATCACCGTCGAACTTTATTACCCCACCTGCCTTTTTTTCCTCAATAAGAAAATCATCTGCGAACAAAGATAAAAAATTACCGGATGTAGATAAAAATAGGTTGTTTTTAAAACAATAGCCTAGGGAAAATCCTACAAGCATTGGCCCCTCGACTACTTCAAAGTGGAACACTGGAGTACAGCCAAACTTGAATWACTGTATGCTTTAAAAACATATTCCTATTATTTTATCGGTCTGTGTGATGGAATAATTCAACTCAAGCGTTCTTGTTTAGGCAATCAAATATAGTGAATGCTTCAAATAGAACCGCATCCGCTGCGCAGAACTGGATTCTTAAAACTCGAGAAGTAATCTTCCTGCTAGTCTTTTGTTCCCAAAACTCGTCATACTAAGTACGTTTTATTTTACGAATTAATAATGTTTACAATTTATATTTGTATTTTTTGATTAACATTACAAAACACACAAAATTTCTTGATTTGACTCATACAGGAAAAACCTTTCCAAAACTCACAAATATTTACTTTCGTTCAATTGAAGTTTCTTTCTTCTTCGGCCTTATTTCTTCAAATATTTTTTTTAAAATTTTACAAGTTTTCATTAACCTTGACGAAACTCTATCCTTATACACATTATCTTAACAAATTTTACATCCTAAATTTGCAATATTCTTCGTAATTTCTATTTTAGAGTTGGATTTATAAATCATACTGAAAACCCTGGCGTGAGGCACAAACGTTTTTCTAAAACTTTTGAGATCATATATTATGTTTATTTACTTTCATTTTTATTATCTTTTCCCTTGTCTCGATAGCTTCCCTTGATAGCTTTCGTTAATAACAATATCTTTCGATATTTCTGACATATTATATATGACTATATCAACATATGCATAAAATTAATACATTAGTTTCGAACTTTTATCACAGACCTAACACCTTTGTAATAATATCTTGGAGCGACTGATCGTCAAAGAAACAGGAAAATAGATAGAATCGATATTCAAAAAAAATTACATAGAAACATTTTGATTTTTTTCCTGTTAATCTTGCATCTAAGATTATTTTGAAAACGAAAACAAAGATGAATATTCTAAATAAACTGATAAAGGTAAGACCGTAAGGCAATCTATATTTTTTCAGAAGTTCATAAGTTATGGACTTCTGATTTTTTCAAAGTTATTAGGAACACTAAAATTCTTAAATGAATGAATGAGTTCTATGGCGGGTAATCACAGTCATAAAAGCCATGCAATTCGTGTGCCAACGTGACTCGGTTCCGTGTTTTCTAAGCTACTTGCAGATGATCAAATGTCGTTGTTCAAATMAACGACCAACAAACACATGTTAACAAGATCAATCATAGAGATTGTAGATTAAGACCTTCCGGGAATATTGATTTAGATTCCGCTTTTTAGTCTAATTAATTGAGTAAGGCCAAAGGCAAAGACCTTTACAAAGAATACGAGATAAAATCTTAACATTCACAAATGTATTTGTCACCAAAAAAAGGGAATAAAAACAAACAAGCAAGCAAAAATGAGCAAACAAAAGCCAAAAGAAAAAAAGAAAAAAGAAAGAGAAAGAGAAAGAAAAGATAAATAAAAATATAATTTTTATTTTGCGTAAAGTAATTAAATAAACACACAAATTAATAAGTATGACATATCTGACTATAATCATTTGCAATTTTTCTCCGACTAACGATCTCTAATTTTTTTTTTTTTTTYATTTTYGTTAAAAAWTTTTTTTCCATTTTCATTAACTTTTTTTCATTTTCGTTAAAAATTTTTGTATTTTTGAAAACATCCCTCAGCGAATAATTTTTTTCAAAGTATCATAATTATTCTCATTATATTTGTGTGATAAATTTTTCTCTTTTTTCAATATTGTACGAATGAAAAACATAAGAAACTTGAATAAGATCATTCTAAAAATTAAAAAATTAAAATCAAAATGCACGAAGAATCCTTAAGCCCCGTTTACACTAGCGATTTTTGYTGCCATTTTTTATCGATTTTGTCCATAATAAATAATGGTAAAGAATTTACTTGTAAAGCGTTTGTCAGGATACCAAGATTTTCCTAGACGAATGTCTCTTTTGAAGGATGAGACAAAAGATTTCATATTTCCGAAAATTGTCACAAAAATCGCAGCAAAAATCGCCGCAAAAATCGTCAGTGTAAACGGGGCTTTAAAATATTACATCTACAAGCGTTTGTCAGTGAATATCCGTAATGGCTTTGACGTAAAGGTTTTCATGTTAGCCCAATAGCTAGCACTATGAAGTGTCTTATATCTCAGTAGAGAGGATGTAGTACCTTCTGATGATACGATGAAGACACTCGAGCCGTGAGCACTTCGAGTATTTTCCGGTTTAATACTTCCCGAACTTTCTACTGTTTCAAACCATTTTAACTTGAAGCATTGAGTTCAAATACATCAAGTGATCCAAATAGATCTTATTTCTAATCGATTGGCTCAAGGGATTATTTACAGTATGCATTTTTTTTAAATAGCTAAAAACTTGAAGTGTTCACGGTTCGAGTGTCTTCACTGTAACAAAATAAAATAAATTACATTTGACTTAAAGTACTACAGAGTTACAAAATGTGGATTTTTTTAAAGCGGCGGGATATTTTTAGTACGCCGC